CCAGTCTATCTAAGTCCCTCTGCAGCAAAGTAATATCTTGCTCACATTGTATTGTTTTACAAAGTTTGGTGTCATCTGCAAACACTGAAACATGACTTTCAATGCGGTCTTCAAGATCATTTATAAACATGTTAAATAGAAGGGGTCCCAGAACAGACCCCTGAGGGACACCACTTGCCACCTCTGTCCAGCTTGAAAATTTACCATTCATGACAACTCTTTGTACTCTGTTTTTAAGCCAATGTTCTACCCAAGAACAAGCATTTTCATCTAGACCGATTTCCTTGAGTTTGAACACTAATCTATTGTGTGGAACTGTATCAAATGCCTTGGCAAAATCCAAATAGATCACATCCACGGCAACACCCTGATCTATACTTCTACTTACTTCTTCGTAGAACGCAATCAAGTTAGTTTGACATGACCTGTGCTTCATAAAACCATGCTGATTTTTGCTGATAACCATGTTCTTCTCAAGGAATTCTTGAATATTATCCCTTAATAACCTTTCAAATATTTTACCAGCCACAGAAGTTAAGCTCACAGGTCTATAATTTCCAGGCAAGGATTTTGAACCCTTTTTGAATATAGGAACCACATCTGCCTTCCTCCAATCCTCCGGAACACTTCCTGAAAGAAAAGAATCTTGAAAGATTAAAAACAGAGGTTCACTTATTTCTGCACTTAGTTCCTTAAGTACACGTGGATGGATACCGTCAGGCCCTGGAGCTTTGTTTATATTAACTTTCTTTAGTTGCTGCAGCACCTTGTCTTGAGTTAACCAATTACAATTATTCTGCAAGTTTTTAGTAGCAATCATTTGCACATCTATTGCCATGGGTTCTTCCTTAATATATACGGAGGAGAAATAGTTATTTAAAATTCCTGCCTTTTCCTGGTCTTCATTAATTAACACCCCCGTTTCAGTTTTTAGTGTACCTACACTTTCATTTTGTTTTGTTTTTAGAATTTATGTACTTAAAAAATGCTTTGGGGTTGGTTTTGCTCTCTTCAGCTATCATTATTTCATTTTGAAGTTTAGCAAGTCTAATTGCCTTTTTGCACGCATTATTTGCATCCTTATATCTTTTATAAGATGCATCTGATTTGTCCGATTTAAATGCTTTAAATGCCCTTCTCTTAGTTGTAATCTCTTGTTTTACTTCTCTACTAAGCCACATTGGTTTTAATTTGTTTCTTTTATATTTATTTCCCAACGGTACATACTGAGAAATGTACCTTTGTAATATTTGTTGGAAGATGAGCCATTTATCCTCAGTGTTCTTTTCACTAAAGAGTTTATGCCAGTCAATATATTGTAAAGCTTCCCTTAACTTATTGAAATTGGCCTTTTTAAAATTATATGTTTTAGTATTCCCCATGTGCTTTTGTTTTTTGAGTTTATTTCAAAGGACACTATATTGTGATCACTATTTCCCAAGTGCTCACCTACTTGAATGTTGGTCAAAAGATCAACGTTGTTTGTTAAAACCAGGTCCAGACAAGCATCCATTCTAGTTGGTGCTTGTACAAGTTGTGACATGAAGGTGTCATTTAACAAGTTTAAAAACCTAATTCCCTTTGCTGAGGCACTAGTCCCTCTGTCCCAATTTATATCCGGGTAATTAAAATCTCCAATAATTAAAGTGTTACCCAGATTTGCAGCTTTCTTAATTTGCTCAAAGAGCTGTTGTTCCTCGTCAATATTAACATTAGGTGGTTTATAACATATCCCAACCAATAGTTGGTTTCCCTTCTTTTCCCCCAAGCAGATATTTACCCATAAAGCTTCCACATTATCCTCCTCGCATTCCATTTGCTTAACATTTGGCTTTAAATCATGTTTGACATACAAACATACCCCACCACCCTTCTTGTTTTTCCTATCCTTCCTAAATAACATGTACCCATTTAAGTTAGCTGCCCAGTCATGTGTCTCATCCCACCATGTTTCAGTTATGCCTATTATATCATATTGTTTAGTGTATGCTAATGCCTCTAGCTCCCCCATTTTGTTATTTAGGCTCCTTGCATTTGTAAGCATACATTTAATATTATGCATCACTTGTATATTTTGTGAATTTGTCTGATGTCTGATGTGCACGGACCTGCCATAATTTTAGATTGACCACCAATTCGTTCTACATGCCCGGCAATACTTAACACCAATTAGGGACCTCACGGCAGACAAATACACTCTCAATCACACTCCATCTCCGATGACCCCATACCTCCACAACAGGGCATTTCAGCCGGGGCTAAGCGCGCGAGATTTCCGGGTTATTGAGAACACGGGGGTACAGAGATATGCCCACCTCTTCGATAAGGGGACGTTCAAAACGTTTGACCACCTGAAAACCCTAGCCCCCCCGACCACAAAAGATGTATTCCAATATATCCAGCTTAAGGACTTCGCCAACAGCCCAGAGATCAAACGGGCAGCGCACATACCCTTGACGTTTTTGAACGTCTGTGCAACGCCGAGACCGAACAGAAAGGACTGATTACACTCCTCTACGCACACCTCAGTGCCCCAGACAGAAACACTCCGGACCCTAGATACATTAGACAGTGGGAGACTGATCTGGGTGGGGAGCTGGAGGGGGAGGACTGGGTAGATATATGGGAGGCGACGGCAAAGACGTCGATCTGTGTTCTCCACCAGGAAAAATCATATAAAATGTTAATGAGATGGTATACCACACCAGTACAACTATACAGAATGAGGAAAACTATGACACACGTGCTGGAAGGGATGCGGACAGAAGGGCACTTTTGTGCACTTGTGGTGGGAATGCCCAGTTATAGGCGGGTATTGGAAACAAGTACAGACTCTATTAACGGACGTCCTGGGTAGACAGGTGGAAATGGACCCTTGGTCCGTCTTGCTATCTAGGCCAATAGATGGCCAACCTACACAAGAACCACTTCTATTTATCAAAATCACCCTGGCAGCCAGGCGGGCGCTAGCCCAGGCGTGGCGGACACCCTCAGTCCCGACAATTACCGACATCATCATGAAAATTAAAGTCACATACTCAATGGACAAACTCACAGCCCAAATAAGGAACACGGAAACAAAGTTCCACAAGGTCTGGCAACCCTGGGAAGAATACATAGGCGACTAGGACTTACAGCACTTGACGAGATCGAGAGACAGGACCCGCCGCGCGCTTCCCCCCCCCCCTCCCCTGCGCGCCGCTGGGGAAACTCCGCGTGACATTCCCTCCTCCTTCTCCCCTCCTGCCTCCCCAACCGTTACCACGCAACACTACAACCTAGCAGACACCAGAAACCACCTCCTACAGGAGAGATGTAGCCTCTCCACAACACGAAGGAGGGCAAGACCCCAGAAGCAGGTTCACACAGTAAAGGGATGCCCTGCGGACGGGGAAGCTGCTTCAGTAATACCCCAATAACACTGGGGCTCCTCACACGCTACACCACCACACCCGAGACAGGCCCAGTGGAGATGGGGCTGGGGCCCTCTTCTCATACACATGCCATATACTGTCCGTTTGCCCATGCGGACGCCACGCCGGCTGGGGTGCAAGCATCCACCTTTACAACTATAAAATGCACCTTCTGGCTAAAAACTACACTGTCCACAAACATGCTCTACCAATGGATATACAAAGCAAAGACACGATTTATTCTGCTTTAATAACCCCGTTGACTTTTCAAGACAGAACACTGTACCACACGTTTTTTGTATGCACCGAGTACTGAACATTTGTTTTTAAAATGTACAGGTATGTCGAATGCCACGGTCATATTATGTGTTTATACTGTTGTTCTTGCTGATGTGGCAGGGTAAGACTGATTGTTTTTTGTGCACAACAAAAATAAAGAATTAAAAAAAAAAAATACTGTGTTTACAGCGCAGTTTGACCAATTCAAATTTTTTTTTTGCGTTGCTAAATAGTACATTTGCGGCCTGCACTTTATATCTGACAGTCAAATAGAACCATCAAATACCAATATAACAATATTGTAATTCGGGGGCAATACCCTCACAAGTCAAACTGAGAGGTCAGTTTATAGGGAAAACTATTGCCTGGATACAATTCTAAAACAATTTACATATGTCCTTTGTAGACTTTACATTCTGGAAAAACACAGGTGCCAACTGCTGTGGCTTTATGCAGTGTGCAGACCGGCAAGGAGGGCAGGGTTGAGGAGTGGGTGGAAGATGATGTGGCAGATGAGGTCCTAGACCCCACATGGATCAAGGTCATGCGAGTGACGTGTGCAGTTTGGAGGAAGAGGTGCTGGTAGCACAGATGCACCAGCACAGCATAAGAGTTAGCAGGGTGCAAAAGCAGAGCGGCCATCCCCTAGCGCTCGTCGGCATGTATTATCTTTAGAATTCCCACAATTATCCAAGTAACAGATGGAGCGATAAAAGGAACCATAACAGATTTAACGAGACAGTCGCAGTTTCGCGTTCCGGTGACCAGGACCCAGACACTGTCTGGGCGGTGGTCGGACGACCGGGACCCAGTATGCCTGATGTTGAAGTTAGGAGTCACAGTGTGGAATGGATTAGCAGGGTCTGGTGCAGGGTAACCGCACGCCCCCTGGTGTTGAGCACCAGCGTTTGTGCGGCCACATACCAGGACCCTGATGCAGCTTCAGTAAAAAGAGTACTGGATACCAGAAGCCATCACCAGACTGATCCGCAACTTGGAACAGGATATGACATTCACTGTAGCGGCTGTGCACCATTTCGGCATTCTCACCCTGCTGCTGCTCGCCTGCAGCGTAACTTTGGCCTTCCTGCTCACTGCCTCAAATGCGACGTGGCCACAAGGTGGAACTCCACCTTGCACATGCTGGAGTGACTGTGCGAGCAGCAGCAGGCGATAGTGGATTTTCAGCTGCAGCACGCATGGGTCAGTCACTCTGCACCAGACTTGCCCTCCAATTGATCATAGTTAAAGGATTTCAAGTGGACTCATTACAATTACAGGGCCTCTAAACAGTCCTGTATTGTTAATTGTCGTCTCTACGTCCCCGCGTCGGGAGTGGGTAATTTACACGCCTGCTGCCTTCCTTGGATGTGGTAGCCGTTTCTCAGGCTCCCTCTCCGGAATCGAACCCTGATTCCTCGTTACTCGTGGTCACCATAGTAGGCGCTGAAAGTGGCATTGAAAGTCGATAAGGCAGACATCCGAATGCAAAGTCACCATCACGGGGACATGTGATTGGCCCGAGGTTCTCTAGAGTCACCAAAGTGCCTGCACAACTATAATGTCAACAGATACTCTGCTGAATGGATCTTCACTAATAGGTAGTGGATGAAGGGAGGCCCTGTGCCGGTCCCTTCTCTTCCCCACTCTCTGACAGACATCTGGCAGTACTGCCTCAGATCCTGAGAAATGCCTGGCCAGAAGAAGCTGTGGGTGAGCCGAGATGCTGTCTGGCTCCTGCCCAAATGCCCTGCCAAGGGGATATCGTGAGCTAGCTTCAGCATCTCTTCCCAATACTTCTTGGGTCTGGGGCTGGCACTCTTTCACCAGCCATGTCGTTGGGGAGCCCATTGAAAAAGTACTCTAGCATGACGAGCTGTGTGATCTCCTCTGGGAACTTGGCTTGATGGGAATTGAGCCAGTTCTGGGTGGCCCTTGTGATACGGCATGCCCACTCCGTATGGGAGTCCTTCTCCCCTTTCCGGGTCTCCCTAAACTTTCGGCGGTATTGCTCGGGGGTGACCGCATACCGGGCCAGGAGAATTTGGGTGATAAAGGAATAGTCTCTGATTTGCTCTTCTGGTAAATATCCACTGCCTTCCCCACTAGTTTGCTGGCCAGGATGGTGACCCAGTTGCTGGGGTCCACTTCTTGGAGTAGGCACTGGTGCTCAAAGTCTTGTAAAAAGTCATCGATGCCTTCTTCTGCTTCCTTGAACTCTTTGAAGGCATTGTATGGTAGCTTGTGGGCCAGGGTGGTTGTGCTTCCCTACACCCTCTGCTCCCTTCTTCCTTCATCTGGGTTCATGGAGGTTGCCCTCTGTCTATTGGCAAGGACATAGGCTTGCACCTTCAAAAAGGTCCTGCTGACAATCTCCTCTGAAGGTAGCTCTCGGTAAAATGCCAGGCGCCGTTCCACCTCCTTGCACACTTCCTCCTCATCTCCAGCCCCTGACTGGGGTTTGTTGCCTCACTGCGTGCCTGGTCGTCCTCCATGAGCGCAGCAGTCAATTCAGCTTTGTTACGCCCACCAGGCGTTATTCCTCTGGCTCCACACAAGTCCTGCAGTGTAGGTCGCTTTAGAGCACTGTAGTCCATGGGTCTGTTGGCAGGGACATGGGATCCTGCCGCTTGCCACCAATTGATGCGGGACCTGGGTAACCGATGGTTATCCCCTTTGATTAGAATAGGTCAGACCCATTTCCCCAGTAACCGGATGGGACACAGTTCCAGGATACAACGTTTATTTGGCTACACAGCTTTGCTTCCTGTTGCCTCCTCCTCCTACTCTGCTTCCTCCTCCTCTAGCACCTCCTCATCCGGTCAGCGTAACACCTTCACCACCAACTTCAGCACAGCCAGGGGGAAACAACAGCAGGCTGTTTTAAAACTCATATGTTTGGAGGGAGCTGTGGACGGGCATGGAACAACAGACAGATGAGTGGTTGTTGCAACTAAGCCTCAAGACCGGCCTGGTGGTGTGCGATAATGGGCGAAATCTCGTAGTAGCTCTGGGCCTAGCCGGTTTGATGCACATCCCTTGCCTGGCGCATGTGCTGAATTTGGTGGTGCAGAAATTCCTGAAAAACTACCCATATATTTCAGAGCTGCTGCAGAAAGTGTGTGCCGTCTGTGCGCGCTTTCGGCGTTCTCACCCTGCTGCTGCTCGTCTGTCTGTGCTGCAGCGTAACTTCGCCTCATATGTGACGTGCCCACAAGGTGGAACTCCACCTTGCACATGCCGGAGATACTGTGCGAGCAGCAGCAGGCGATAGTGGAGTTTCAGCTGCAGCACGCACGAGTCAGTCGTTCTGCGTAACAGCACCACTTCACCACCAATCAGTGGGCCTCCATGCGAGACCTGTGTGCCATATTGCGCTGTTTCGAGTACTCCACCAACATGGCCAGTGCCGCTGACGCCGTTCTCAGCCTTACTATCCCGCTTCTATGTCTCCTTGAAAAAATGCTTTGGGCGATGATGGAAGAGGATGTGGCACAGGAGGAAGAGGAGGAAGAGGGGTAATTTTCACGGTTATCAGGCCAGTCATTCACAAGTGGCTCGGAGGGTGGGTTCGTGCACCAGCGTAGGCCAGGTACACAATTGTCCAGCATCTTCAGTGGATGGGCTGGCAGAGAGCTGTTACTTACCCTCCTGCAGCTCCTGTCAGCTCCCTTCTCCTCCGTGCAGCTCCCCTGTCAGCTCCGTTCTGGTAACCCGTGGCAACGCTGTGACTCCCGCGGGTGTCGCGAGACGTACACTGTAAGCAGAACGGAGCTGACAGGGGAGCTGCATGAAGGAGAAGGGAGCTGACAGGAGCTGCAGGAAGGTAAGCAACAGCTCTCTGCCAGCCCCCCCACTGCCCAGCCCATCCACTGGACCACAAGGGATTAACATAGTCCCCCTCCCTGGCCAGGCAACAAGCAGGGAGGGGGGACAAAAAAACTATTAAATAAAAAAAATACAAATATTAAAATATAATAATATTAAAATGAATATTAAACTATAATAATAATATTAAAATAAATTAATATTAAAATATAATTACAAGCCCGGCGGTCCTGGTCTCTATTATGGCAATGTAAGTTGCCATAATACAGACATTGACTCGAGTATAAGCCGAGTGGGGGTTTTTCAGCACAAAAAAATGTGCCGAAAAACTCGACTTATACTCGAGTATATACAGTATGTTTTTCCAAAGCTAAAATCAAAGATTCCGTCTAGTGCTATTTTATGGCTCAGCTGTATTTTTAATTTTGATATATGTTTTGTTATTTTAAGTGATTTCCCTATCCACATTTGTTTGCAGGGCACTTGTCCTACTCTTACCCCCATTTTACTTCCTTTTGCAGCCCTCTAGCCCTTTTCAGGACTTTTTAGAGCCATTTTGTGCCTAAAAATTCGGGTCCCCATTGACTTCAATAGGGCTCCGCGTCAAATTCGGGGTCAAGTTCGAGCCCGAACCCGGACTTTTTTTTTCGAAGTTCGTCCGAACCTGCCTGACCTGAACATCCAGGTGTCCGCTCAACTCTAATCATATGTATTAAAGCGGCACTGTCATGCCGAATCCCGTTTTTTTTTTTTAACCCCCCTCCCGCCTCCACTACATCCAATTGACCCACTAGTCACCCCAAATGCCCCTAAGCCCCCCACATTACCTATTTTTAAATCCTTATTTTCTGCCCCGATCTTGATTCAGGGCGCAGCCATCTTTGTGTGGGTAGGTGAAGTCCCTGTGGGACACGTCATCAGCCCACACTAGGCAGACTGTGAGATTCCCGCACATGCCCAGTGAAACACCTGGACATGCGAACGGGAATTTCAGCTATTCATTCATTCATCAGACAGGCGAATGAGTGAATAGAAAGATCAGCCGAACAAACAAACACAATGTATCAGTGTATGTTTGTTCGTTTAGTTTATTACAAGGAGGGAGCTACCGGCATGCAGCTCCCTCCTTGTAATATGTAACTATTGAAGCGGCAGGGAGCAGTGCTCCCCACCACTTCATAAGCCCCCCCAGTACACCCTCTCACCCCCATAATAGCACAAGGGAGATTAAAATCTCCCAAATGCCCCTACTCGCTATACCGCGAGTAGGGGCATGTCTACTAAACAGTGAGCAGCCATAGGCTGCTCACTGTTGAAAAAAAAAGACATACATTACAATAAGGGGGGGCGGACCTATTGTCCTCCCCCCCTCCCCCATCCTGAGCGGCGGGTGGGGGCCATGAAGATAATGAGGGGGGGGGGGACCTACTGTCCTCCCCCCCGGCCCCCACCCCTGAGCGGTGGGTGGGGGCCCTAATAAAACAATAAGGGGGGGGACCTACTGTCCTCCCCCCCTGGCCCCCACACTGTTGAAAAAAAAAGACATACATTACAATAAGGGGGGGCGGACCTATTGTCCTCCCCCCCTCCCCCATCCTGAGCGGCGGGTGGGGGCCATGAAGATAATGAAGGGGGGGGGACCTACTGTCCTCCCCCCCGGCCCCCACCCCTGAGCGGTGGGTGGGGGCCCTAATAAAACAATAAGGGGGGGGACCTACTGTCCTCCCCCCGGCCCCCACCCCTGAGCGGTGGGTGGGGGCCCTAATAAAATAATAAGGGGGGGACCTACTGTCCTCCCCCCCGGCCCCACCCCTGAGCGGTGGGTGGGGACCCTAATAAAACAATAAGGGGGGGGACCTACTGTCCTCCCCCCCGGCCCCCACCCCTGAGCGGTGGGTGGGGGCCCTAGTAAAACAATAAGGGGAGGGGACCTACTGTCCTCCCCCCCCCGGCCCCCACCCCTGCGCGGTGGGTTGGGGCCCTAGTAAAACAATAGGGGGGGACCCTACTGTCCTCCCCCCCGGCCCCCACCCCTGAGCGGTGGGTGGGGGCCCTAATAAAACAATAAGGGGGGGGACCTACTGTCCTCCCCCCCCGGCCCCCACCCCTGAGCGGTGGGTGGGGGCCCTAAATGAAACACCCCCCCCAATCAAGGTGACTAGGGGTCCCAAGCCCCTAGTCACCAACCCCCCACCCAAAAAAACCTATCCCCTACCTACCCCCCTCACCCTACAAATAGTGAGGGGGGAATAAAATAACTAACCTGTAAAAAAAAAAAAATTAAACTTACCATTTGACGTCTTCTTTTTTCTAAAATCTTCTTTCTTCAGCCCCCAAAAAGGCCAAATAAAAATCCATTACACCCGTCGCACTTTAAAAAAAAAAAAAACCGAGCGCAAAAAAAAATTAATCCAAGTTCGCCCTTCGAGGGCACGCCGCAGACTGAGCTCCGCAGGGCGGGTCAAGGCTTATAAAGCCTTGCCCCGCCCTGCAATTAGGCTTAGAACACTCTGATAAAGTGCCGAATTGCGTTCTAAAAGAAACGAACAGACTGTTCTCATTCAGTTAGAACGCAATTCGGCAGTTTTGTGGAAAGTGACAGGAAGCATTGTGGGAACACTGAGGAAAGCTAGGGATCATGGGAAAATTGCTCTGACCAACGGAAATGAAGCACACTTTGCTCCTCCGCTGGTCAAAGCTGGTCAAGCGGAGGAATCCTCCATAAGGCAAAGAGTCCCTACTTTGTCTTATGATTTTAAAGAAAACTAAAGAAGACAGGAAGAAAAGAAGAACAGAT